CTCGCAACCCAGAGGAAGCTGGGGAAAAACCGACGACAGACAAATGGCGAAGCCTGACCAAGGCAAACATCTTCCTCCTCCTCCTCGTCTTGCCGCCCCGCATGGCCCCGCCCGTCGCTCGCAGGACCGTGAGGCCTGGGGCCAGCTCCTCGCCCGCGAGTTCTCCGAGGCACACCGATCGCTCTGCGCTGCCCGCCCCCTCGGGCGCATCCCTCGGGCTCGCGCCCCGCTGGCCCGCCCGCCCGCGGAGAAGGGGCCCGCCGGAGGGGCCTTTCCTCTTGGGCGTTGAGATCGGCTACAGAATCGATTTGACCCAGCTTTCGTTGACTACATATGAAACATATGTGGAGTGTTCTGTAGGTCGACCGAGCATTCGATGCATCGCCGATGCATCGCCGATGTCTTCCGAGTCCTGTATGGGTGGCCTATTGCCGATTATCAGCGATGTTTCGCCGATTCCAGGTCGATGTCCCCCCACCCCCTGAGCCAGTCCCCCCCCGAACGTTGCCCCTGGTTTAGGGTTTGCGGGGGGACCCCCCCAACCAGACCAGAGGAGAAACGAGTTCCCAAGGGGTCGGCTGAGGTTTTCCCCCTCGATGGAACAACTGTAGCCAGTTCCCGATCACCCTTTCCTTCCCTTGGTCTGGTGAGGCTCTCGGGGGGGAGGAGGAGGCGGAGGTGGAAGCGGAAGCGGAGGCGCAGAAGGAGGAGGATGAGGAGGAGGAGGAGGAGGAGGAGCAGGAAAAGGACGGGGAGGAGGAGGAGGAGGAGGAGGAGGAGGAGGAGGAGGAAAATGAGGAGGACAAGGGTAAACCCAAGGCTCATCAACGATGTTGCCATGAACCCAACCTCCCAGTTCCCTCTTCACATGGCCCTACAAGGGTTCGTTTTTACTGAGGGAAGTCCCCCGTTGGAAGACACCCGTCTGAAAATCTTGAACCGTGCGAGAACATCACTCCTGAGACTTCAACGCCGCGAATCAACGCTACTGTGGAGTCCTCACGATCCTGAATCTTGCCTGGACAGTTCCTGGGACTTCAACACCGCGAATCAACGTGACTGTTTTTGTGCCGACAGTCCTACATCGTGCCAAGCACTATTTCTGGGACGTCAGCCAGAAGAATCTGGGAAGCTGCTGTAAACTCTCAAGAGTAATGCTCGTGGCGCCGGGAAGAGAGCCATCCGCCCGTGGAGCTCTTGTGAGCGTTCAGGGCAAAAGTCTGCGGCGCCGAGAGGAGACCGAGATTCTGAACTCCGCTCTCGGGCCGGGCGAAAGGGGGGGATTGGGAAAGGGGGGGTTACGAAATTTGCTGCATGCAGCTAGTTTCGGCCTCACCGAGGGGCCCATTCCTCGATACATGGCCGCCTCCGGCGCCGGGAGGCGCCGGGAAAATCAGCTACGTGAGCTGATTCTCAGACCCCCCCTTTGCTATCCCCCCCTTTCGCCCGACCCGACGCTCTCCCTCAATCCTCGAAGCTCCTGCGATTTTGAGAACGAAAAGACGCGGAGCCACGAGGAGATTCGCACTTGAAAACGGTCCTCCCTCCATCCTTGGAGCCCGGCGCGGCGCCAGCGCGGCGCGCTAACGCGAGAGCAGCGTTGTGAAACCCGCCCGCCCTCCATCCGTGAGGACACTCCACAGCTTGACAGGAAGAGGTGCGCGGCGCTAATCAGGAGGGGAAAAAACACACAGACACAATTAATCGTCGATCCCCAGGAAAATATGGGAAAATATGGGAAGTGGGGGGGAAGACAGAAACCCAGAAAATATGGGGAAATATGGGGAATATGTTTATTTGTGTGTATTTATTTGTGTGTCCCCTTCAGCTAAGGCGAGAGCCACGAGCTGAAGGCGGCCCGCCCTCCACCCGTGAAGCCGTTGCAGATTTTCGGCTCCAGGTCCACAAGGGGTGAGGAACTGTGAGGCAAAACGCCCGGCCCGCCCTACCGACACTCCTCGGGGTGCGACCAGGAGGAGTTGTTTGGTGAGGAGGGATGGAGGAGGAGGAGGAGGAGGAGGAGGAGGAGGAGGAGGAGGAGGAGGAGGAGGAGGAGGAGGAGGAGTAGTAGTCGGAGTGGGAGTGTGAGGGAGTGGGAGTGGGAGTGGGAGTGGGAGTGGGAGTGGGAGTGGGAGTTGGAGCATGAGCAGCAGCAGGAGCAGCAGGAGTAGGAGTAGGAGTAGGAGTCAAGCTAGCCAGCTCGAGCGAGTCAAGCATGGCATGCCCAGTCCCACCCGCCCTCCCACAACATAAGAAGCAAAGCTGGCACAACTGGGGGCCGAAGTCACACCGGCCAGCCGGTTTGGTACAGCTGATGCGGCCGCGATGGCGGTTGCCGACGGGAACTGGCGAGCGCGTGTTGAATGCCGCGCACGCATTGCCAGACGAGTCGAGAATGGCCCGGTACAACTTTTTCTGCAATCCTTCGACAACGAACAAGCGACGTGGACGACAGGACGTCCATGCTGAGAGGAAAAACGTTGGTGCGCGGCGCCGAGGCGAGAGCGACATGTCACCCCTTCGCGCGGGGTGCGCGCCGCGTCCCATTCCTGCCACGCATTTTGCGACGTGACGACAGCACGACCGTGTTGACAAGAAAAACAAAAACTGTGTATTTGCTTTTGCAGATTAGAATGGGATGGATTGGATGGGCGGGCGCGGGGTGTGCGCCGCGTCCCATTCCTGCCATGCATTTTGCGACGTGGACGACAGGACGTCCATGCGACGGTGCCAATGACGGCGACGACTCTAGCAGGATTTGAGCATGCGCTCGCGGCGACGCGCGCGCATGTCGCCCGCGTGGTATTTTTTGCGCAGGATTCGCGGCCTGGGTGCATGAGAAAGCATCGCGAGTGCACCGCGCGATGACGTGAAATCGCTGGATTTGACAGAATTCTTAAGATTCCTATGGTTTTCCTATGATTTCAGCAAGAGGGCCCGGGCAGGAAATTTGTAGATTTTTTGTGAAAAACATTGGTTTTTTGATGTTTTTATGTTGAAATGCTTGCAAACACACGGTGTTCGGTAGGATTCTGACATGAACGCGCGCGTGTGCTCTTTGTGGTATTTTTTGCAATGGATTATCGCCGTGGACGACAGGACGTCCATGTCGAGAGGAAAAAATAAGAACAATATTGATTTTGTATTGTTTTTTACAGGTTAGGATGGGACCACCCGGATGGGGCCCCAATCTGCCGGCCTGAGGGGGGAGTAGGAGTATATTCTAATAAGGAATAAGGATAGGAGAAGGAGTAGGAGTAGGGATGGGAGTCAAGCTAGCCAGTTCGAGCGAGTCAAGCATGGCATGCCCATTCCCATCCGCCCTTCCACAACATAAGAAACAGTGCCGGCGCAACCTGGGACCGAAATCGGATCGGCAAAGTGGTTTGCCACAGCTGATGCAGCCACGATGGTGGTTACCGATGGGAAATTCCTGGCGCGTCTCAAAGACTGCGCTGGCATTTCAGCACGAGCCGAGGAGGCCCCAGGAAACCTCAGGAGGCCCCAGGAGGCCTCAGGAGGCCCTAGGAGGTTGCAGGAAACCCTAGCGAACCCCAGGAAGCCCCTAGAGGCTTCAGGAGGGCCCATGAAGCCCCAGGAGGTTCCAGGAGGCTCCAGGAAACCCTCGGAGGTTTCAGGAAACCCCAGGGGCTCCTAGTAACCCCCAGGATGCTTCAGGAGGCCCCAGGAGGATCCACGATGTCTTTGGGAAGCCCCGGGAAACCCCAGGATGTTCCAGGAGACCCTGGGAGGCCCCAGTGGGCCTTAGGCGCTCGACGAAATGGCGAGCGAAAAATGTGCGCCGCACCTTAGCGGGAGTGCAACTTTCAGAAAACATGCGCGCGGCGCCGAAGCGGGAGCGACATTTTGCTTCGTGGCGCGCGATGTGCACCGAACCCCATTCCTGCCAATTCGCCGAGCCGACGACAAGGAAGTCCTCGCTGAGAAGAAGCATGTCGACTTTGTATTCGTTTTTGAAGGTAGGATGGCCGCTCCCGTTTGGGGTTGCCCCAGACGTCCGCGCGCGATGTGCGCCGCGTTCCGCTCCTGCTACGCATTTCGCATCGGCGACGACGAGACAGGCCATGTTTGGAGAAACAACGGAGACGTTGTATGGTTTTTATCAGTTAGGATGGGAAGGCTCAGATTGACGTCCGCGCGCGATATGCGCCGCGGCCCGCTCCTGCCGCGCATTTCGCATCGTCGACGACAAAAAAGGCCATGTTGAGAGAATAGACGACTTTGTATGGATTTTTATTGGTCATGATGGGAGCACCCGGATTGAAAGTCTCGCGCGATGTGCGCCGCGTCCCGTTCCTGCCACGCATTTCGCATCGTCGACGACAAGACCCTGTTGAGAGGAGAAACGACGAGTATGGAGTTTTATCAGTCAGGATGGGAGGGCCCGGATTGACGGCCGCGCGCGATGTGCGCCGCGTCTTGTTCCTGCCGCACATTTCGCATCGTCGACAACAAACAAGGCCATGTTGAGAGAAAACGACGGCTTTGTTTTGATTTTTCTGAAATCAGGAAGGGGGTTGCCCGGATGGGGCCGCTATCGGCCGGCCAGAGGGGAGAATAAGAGTATAATCTAGCAAGGAATCACGATCGGAGTGGGAGTTGGGGTAGTAGTAGTAGTAGTAGTAGTAGTAGTAGTAGTAGTAGTAGTAGTAGTAGTAGTAGTAGTAGTAGTAGTAGTAGTAGTAATAGTAATAGTAGTAGTAGTAGTAGTAGTAATAGTAGTAGTAGTAGTAGTAGTAGTAGTAGTAGTAGTAGTAGCAGTAGTAGTAGTCGTAGTAGTAGTAGTAGTAGTAGTAGTAGTAGTAGTAGTATTGGTGGTGGTGGTGGAGGTGGTAGTGGTAGTAGTCGAAATAGTAGTAGTAGTAGTAGTAGTAGTAGTAGTAGTAGTAATAGTAGTAACAGTCGTAGTCGTAGTAGTAGTCGTAGTCGTAGTAGTAGTAGTAGTAGTAGTAGTAGTAGTAGTAGTAGTAGTAGTAGTA